TCAGTTAGGGCCCTTGTTTCTCCATGAACTGGGGACATCTGACATTGACTTTCCAGGGCTTCGTCTGCAGACACAGCACTGTCTGTAGGTAACCGTTGCATTTCTGTCCAGTAGTTAGCTGTTTTTTACTCTTGTAAACACAAGCACAGTGAACATCTTTGTGCACAAAGCTGTCTAAGTGGCATTCACTCAGTCCTGCACTCATTTGTAGTTGCTATCTGTGTGTCCTCTTAGTTCTTTTCTTAATTTAATTCCCAGGTGTGGAATGCTTGGCCCAAGGAGGCGGCCAGTCCCCCAGGTCCTCCGACTTGCCCCCTGAGCACTTTCTGAAGGGCTGTCGTGGCAACATGCACTGGAGAGCCTGGGCGCGGGGCTCTGGTCGATGGCCACCGCCTGCGCCTGGGCTGTGTGAAGCCCAGGTGCGCTATGTCTGATCCCTTTCATTTCCGGGAGGCCCAGCACTCCTCGGCTGGACGGCGTGTATCTCCCCAGCTGTGAGCCATGGGCCTTCAGTGTTCCGTGGTTTGGCTGGCTGTGAACCCTAACGATTTTAGTCCCTGACATTTTCCGTCATGTTGTTTCCTAGTTTGTCATCTGGCTTTTAACGTGGGCTTTTACGGCACGCACATTTTCATGTAGCCACGTCCGTCCATCTCTTCTGTTATTCCTTCCACTGCTTTTGGCGCCTGCTCCAGTACGAAGCCTGGTATTTACCTGCTGTGATTGGACGTGGAAACATCTGCTCAGTCCAGAACGGTTCTGGCGTGTGGTCTGAGGAGCCAGCTGGGCCCCGACACCCTCTGGAGCAGGGACGCCTCCTCTGTCCACGCTGAGCGCCACACTTGGCCAGGCTCCCTCTGGCCTGTTTATCCAGTTTGTCGCCTGTTCTCATTCTGCCGCTGGCCTGTGTGGTTTGAATAGCATCCCTTTTTGGGGGGTGGACAGTCGGACGGGCAGGTTTCCTCTCTGCTCCTTTTTCTGGTGGTGTATGTACAACGTGCCGTGTACGATTCAGTGACATTGCTCAGCCATTGCCTCTGACTGTGTCTAAAATTCTGTCATCATCCAAACAGAAACTGTCCCTTCGGCCATCCCGCCCACTGCCAGGCCCTGGTGACCTCCGAGCTGCGTCTGTCTCCAGGCGTTCCTGTGAGCGGGTCCCGGAGTAGTCAGCCTTTTCCAGCCTTTCTCTGGTCTTTGTTTCCCGAGGGCCCTGGCTTCTCTGTTCCGTTTAGAGCATTGTCCAGGTGGAGTTGTCAGGTCATGAGCAGCCCTGCCCCATGGACACCACTGACCAGGCCCCTTCTGTCTGCGGAGTAAAAGCTTCTTACCTTTTACAGGGAGCTGGTCTGGCCGGAACTGGCACCGGGCTCTGTCCCAAGCTGTGCATTCCCTTCCACCCTCCCCATCGATGGGACCAGGCCCCTGCTGGCCCCCCCAAAAACCCCCTGCCCTGCCAGAGCCCCCCTGGCCTCCCAGAGACCCCCGGCCCTCCCAGAGGCCTCCCATCAGGGGTGGGGGCACCTGAGGCTGGAGGGTCAAGGTTCATACCAACCTGTGAAAACCCAGGCTGGTGAAATGTGGTAGAATTCCGGGGAGCAGGCCAACCCAAATGGATCTTCTCGGGACTGCAGCACCCCCAGTTGGATGCACAGGGTCTCGTCATCGTAGGGGGCACCAAGGGGACCTGAGGAGTAAGCTCTCCCCTCCCCCACCTGTCGCCCTCAGGCCCCCAGGGCATCCTTCCCCTCAGGGAACATCCAGGCCTCGTAGTCCCCACGGCCTCCAGTGTCCGTCCTATCCTCTCTCCACAGAGGTGCCGTGGGTTCGGCTCAAGCTGAACACGCCCGATCCCTGCCTCCTGCCGACGGGGACCGAGCGTGCCCTGGAGAAGCCTCCGAGCGAGGCGGGCCGTCTGGCACCACCTCCTCACTGTGGGTCCCCACCAGCAGTGGACACAGGGCCGACCTGTGTCCCTGAGCGAGCCCCAGCTGGTGGAGGGGAGAGCTGTCACGCTGTTGATTGGAGGGGAAGACACTGAGAAGAGGGGTCAGGGAGAGGTCCCCCAGCTCACCTGCCTTCCTGGAGTCCCCCTCCCCGGCAGGTCCTCCAGGCGGCCAGCTGGGCAGTGGAGGCTGTGAGGAGGGCCCGGGGGCAGCCAGTGAGGAAGGGAAGAGAGAGGAGGGCGCGGGAGCGACCAGGCCTGCCGGTGCGGTGCGGACACCGGAGTGGGGAGGCGGGGCTGGCCGCACAGCGTGGTGGAGGGCCACCCCGCAGGGGTTCAGCCCCCACAGGTGCCCCAGCCTCCAGGTCTCTCCCAGGAGGGGTCAGAGCCACCTTGCACCCAGGCTTGGGGGGCAGAGAGGGGGACGCCAGGACAAGAAAGCAGGTGGTGAGGGTGATGTGTGCTCCTTGTGAAATGGGGAGGGTCCGGGCAGGTCGTGTGAACACAGCTGGCCCCTGGCAGCAGAAGGCTCAGGTTCCTAAGCTGGGGGCTCTTTTATATGAAAGATCCCAGCTCCGTGGGAAGCAACCGACGTGTCCTGGAGGCAGGCCGTCTGCCTTCAGGAGTGGCTTGTGTGGCCAGGCCCCGGCACCCAGCAGTGCTCAGGCCCCGTGTTGAACACGGCCTGGCGTGCAGCGCAGGCCACAGTGCAGTAGGGCTGTGCAGGGCTGGGGCGTTTGGCGCGTGTTTCTGCTTCCTGTTGCTTATGCGGCAGATGGGGAGAGCTGCTTGCACTGCTGTGAATCACACGGCCTGTAGGGCTGGGACACAGGGCACCGGCATGGGCGTGGCCCGCGGGGGCTCTAGGTGCGAGGCGGGGAGCCCCAGGCCTGAGGGGGCACCAGGTGCTGAGGGGCAATCCTGTCTGCTCTGGGCCCCTCGACTCCCCGCATGCATGGTTTGGGGAATGGACTCCCATCACGAACAGGGAGCGCAGGCTACAGACAGGACTGCCACCTCCTCCGGCCTCTCCAGGTCCAAGGCTCCCGTGTGCCCAGAGGAGGCTGCGTACAGAGGGGAGGCTGAGGGGAGCCTCCGGGCGGCTCCTCATGGCCTGTGCATCCCTGAGCGAGGCTGGTGATGGACCTTCCTGCCCCCGCCCCTGCGAGGAGACCAGCCAGAGGTCTCAGCCAGTTCATTCCACACAGGAAGGGCCCGGGACCCCTGGCCAGCAGGGTGGGAGTGTGTGGGGGTGGGGTACGCCTGGAGGGGAGGGTGAGCCAGAGCGGGTGATGAGGGGTAACCCCAGATGCAGGAGGCAAGGATGGTCCCCATGGCAACGGCAGAGCCCTCCAGGGCCCTCTGGCTGTTTCCTGGGGGCTGGGAGGGGGCGGCTCTCAGGGCCTGTGAGTAAACGCTATGGGTGGGCGGCCACCTGTGTACCGTGGGCTGCTCACATGTGAGAACGGAGCGTGTGCGGGTGTGTGCGGGTGTGTGCTTTGAAGGTTGCTCACACAGGTGTGCATGTGTACCCACGCGTGCATGCTTCTCAAAGCACCACCAGCAGCCTCATCTGTGAGGGCTCGTGGAGTGGCCTGGGGACAGCCGCGTGTGCAGGCTGGGGTGGTCTCCCCGCATAGTGCCCAGGTCTCTGCAGCAGCCCCCGGCCCTCCTGGCTCCGGCCCTGCTGGCCCCATCTCTGGGTGCCCTGGACCCGGCCACGTGTACTGGGGGGAATAGACTTGGAGTCCTGAGCAGAGTCCAGGCTGCAGACAAGGTTGCTGCCTCCTCCAGGAAGGTCTCTGGGTGCTGCCCGTCAGGACAGCCTTCTTTCCATGGAGCCACACCTCCTCCAGGCAGTCCTCTCACATGGCCGCATCAGCTGGCGGCTCTGGTGTCCCCACGGGGGGCGTTCCTGTTTGGAAGCACACCGGTCAGTCAGCTCCTGAGGAGGGGCATTTCGGGCCTCAGGTTCCTTGTCTGCCAGGCCAAGCAGACACGGCGGCCTCCTCAGCAGACTGCAGGACAGAACGAGGGACTGTGTGAGACGCACTCTGACTACGGCCTGTGGCGGCAGGTGCCCAGGCCGGGTGCTGGGTCCTGTGTGGTTGGCCACTGGGGGTAGGAGACAAATGAGCAGAGAGGCGGTGGAAAGGGTGCGAGCAGGAGGCAGGTGGGGGAACAGGAGTGACAGGCCAGGGGAGCTGCGGCCTGGGCGGGCCTCATGGGCACCAGAGGAGTGGGCTTCCGAAAGCCTGGGCTTGGCTGGGCATCGTGGCAGCTCAGGGCCTGACTCAGGAGGCAGCCCCCGGCTGGTGTGTGAGGGACGCCTGTCAGACCATGCTCAGCACCTCAGTTTCCCCCTGGGTGGGGCTGTGTGAGGGGCAGGCCAAGTGTTGCAGCCTGGGGCCTCGGCCCTCCTCTGAGCTCCAGGGCCCTTGGGGGGCCAACCAGGAATGGGCCACTTGGATACACTGACCAAGACAGGGCTCTGTGCCTGGCAGGCAGGTGGGCAGGCTGGCTGGTGGGCGGCACCTTCTCGCCGCTGACTTCTGCTGCCAGAGCCCCGTGCACGGCAGCGACAGCACCAGCTCCGTGGGCTCTGACTTTACAGGTTCCTGTCCCCCTTCTTGCTCCCTTGGGGTCTTGTGGACTTTCCTGAGCCATCGTGGCAGCCTTGGTCATGGTGATGGCTGCCAGGCAGGATAATAGAGAGACGTGGATGAGGGTCCTGCAGCCTCAAGACCCTGAGCTCGAGGAGGGGCGCTGTCCCTGCCACACTCACTCAGGACTCAGGGCTCGGCAGCGGCACCCAGTGGCCAGCTGCAGGACTGCAGGCTCTGGCCGCCCTGGGCCCGGTGGTTGTACACCCTGGTGGCATGCTGCCGCTCAGGGCTGCTCTGGCCCAGACCACAGGGGGTTGAGGATGGCCTGGGGGGGCGTGGGGGCTGGGATCCCAGGGGCTGGCCCTGGAGGTGAGGACGGGGCACAGCCTGGGCAGGAGGCTTGTTCCAAAGGCTGCCAGCTGATGCTGTCCGCCTTCTTTGCAGACGGCGCCCCCCTCAGTGAGCTCTCCTGGTCGTCCTCCCTGGCCGTGGTGGCTGTGTCCTTCTCTGGGCTTCTTACTGTCATCGTCCTCATGCTGGCCTGCCTGTGCTGTAAGAAGGGGGGCATCGGGTTCAAGGTGAGGGTTCAAGGTGAGGGCCAGGGCTGGGCTGGGGGTGCCCGCGGCTGGGGGCTGGCCACCGTGTCTCCTATCCCTCTGGGGGCCACCAGGTCACTTTTGGGTGACCTGAGATACCATAAAGCCACCTGGATGGAGACCCTCTACACCCCAGGGCTCAGATTACACCCCCTCCTGTGGGGGCTGAAAGGAGAAGCCTGGGGGCTTTTGGGGACCCAACTTTGGGGCCTCTCTGTGGGGGTGTGACCTCAGCCCCGCCCCCAGGCCAGGCCTCCAAGCTCTGTGGTTAAGCTGAGAACCAGGAAGGCCGGGTGAGGTGGTCTAGGTGGGCGGGGATGTCTGCAGAGGACTCCCAAACCCCCTCCTTTTGAGCCAACAAAGGGAACCGGAGCTTTTCCCTGTCCCTTTCCTGCCCTTTGGGCCACACCACTGGTTTGAGCACCTTCTGCCCCCAAGGGAGATGGCATTAGTGGCCCAGGCCTAGCAGCTGTGGGGGTAGCTGCTGTTTATGGTGGGGGACTTGACAAAGGCAGGGGACTTCCTGCAGTTACCCTGGGCTGGGCTCTAGAGCTGGGCCCTCCTGTGCTCCCCCAGGGTGGTGGCGAGGGTTTCTGCTGCACCACTGGGGTGCTGTTCCCCGAGTCTGTAGTCCCCATGGCTGCAGCTCTGGGCGAGGAGTACCAGGCTGAGAAACCCCACCAGAGCCCCCACCCTGCTGCCTGCGTGGGCCCATTCCTGCCGACCCAGCACATTACTGAGTGGCCGAGACTTGGGGCCTTTCTCACGCCCCCATGGCCAGCCCCACCCCGGCCAGAGGTCAGATTCCTGAGCCTGGAGAGGAGATGCCTGAGAGGCCCTCCCTGCTGCTGGCCGCTTCTGTCCTGGGCCGACCCTCATACCCATCTGTGTTTGGGGGCACCTCCGACCCCGGGAGGCCCATCCCTGGCCTTCGTGTCCCAGCGGTGGGTGGGGTGAGCCTACATGTGAGCTCTGCAAGGTGGGCCCAGCCCCCTGTCCCCTGGGTCTCAAGGTGGCAGCCTGTGCCCTCTGGGAGACTGACCTGTGGGCTTACAGCGGGCCCAGGCAGCCGGGTGTTTCAGGAGGACGCTGGGGCCAGGCCTGCAGGGTTGGGGACGTGAGGGGCCTGGGGGTGGGCAGTCCCCCCTCGGGGCTGTGTGGGAACAAGCCCCCAATCAAAGGCAAGCCTCGGCCCCTCCTACTGGTGCCCTCCTCGTGTGGGAACATTCCAGTACCAGCGGGCCTCGGTGGGCCGGCCTCCGTCCGCAGGGGCCCCTCCTGGGCTCTGAGCAGTGCTGGGCCCACCTGCTCCGATGGGGCCAGGCGGCCGGGTGCCATGCTCACACTGTCCTACCTGCTTGCCCGCTCGGCCGGCAGCATCTGGCGGGCCTCCAGGCCACACGGCCAGGTAACGAACCAGGGCCGGAGGGGCACCGGGCACAGAGCTAGTGTGTGGGGAGGGGAGGGAGCACAGCAGGAATTAGAGGCTCCAGTGGGGGTAGGCGGGCGGGGAGCGAGGGCTCAGAGAGCTCCCTCCATGGTCCCAAGGGTGGGCCCTCTGTTCTATCTGGATGTGGATCGGGACTGGCCCACAGGGGTACCGGCAGAGCCCCCACCTCCCTTCTTACAGCTGAGAGAAGGCCCGGAGGAGGACGGGTACCTCAGGGTCCTGCTGCCTGCCCCCAACGCAGCCCTGCAGTGGGACGGCTGGGCCCCTCTGACCTTGGTTTTCTGAGCTGGGTGGGCATCTGGGGCCACCTGGAGGGTCTGCTGCTGGAGGCAGCTTCTGGTTCTCTGCTCAGGGCTGTGCACTGACTGCTGTGTGCGTGCTCAGCCAGCTGTGAACGTGCATGCGTGTGCATCAGTGTGTGTGCATGTGTGTGAGTACTCATGCCAGTCTGAACATGACCCTGTGTGTACACATGCGGACATGTTGCATGTTCAACTGTGTGTGCATGCACATGTGAACATGCAAAGATGCGGATGTACATGTGTTAGCATATTTTTGCGTGCATGCAAAAATGCGTTACATGTCCAAGCATGTGCATGCACATGTGTCTGTGTGAACAAATGTGCATGTGTGTACATGTGCCCATGTGAGCATGTGTGTGAGAGCATGCACACACATGTGCATGCATTGTGTTGCATGTGAGCTTGTGTGCATGTGTGTTATGTGAGCTTGTGTGCAATGTGCATGTATGTGTGCATTGCATGTGAGCAGGTGTGCACACATGAGTGTGTACATGCGCATGTGTGAGCCTGAGTGCATGTGTTGCATGTGTGAGCCTGTGTGCACATGTGCATGCATGTGTGTGTGCAGGCATGAGCATACATGGTGTGTGAATGTCTCTGGGTGTGCAGCATGCATGTATGTGGATGTATGTGAATGTGTGTGGGCATGCCTGGGGGAGTCTCCCCTGGGCAGATGTGCCAGCCCCATTTCAGAACAGCAGCCTGTCCAAGACACCCCAGCTCCAGGCCGCCCAGGGTCAGGCTCTAAGGAGCCCTGCCTTCCCCCAGGTGGGTGTGGATAGCTGGTGAGCAGCAGGTGGCCTGCCTGGGGCAAAGGTCACAGGCTGCCCCAGGCAGATGGCTGTGGTAGGTGGCAGGGGTGCCAGGCCTGGGGAAAAAGATGGCAGGGGGGTCCCTGCTTCAGGACACTCAGGAAAGCCTGACAGGGGTGGGGGCACTGAGTTGTTTTGCCTAGTGGACATCGGAGCTGGGTGGGGTGATGGAGCCCTCGTCTGGCTGCCAGCCCTGACACGAGGTGGCTGCCCCATGGCCGGGCCCAGGGGTGGGGCCTGCTGAGAGTTTTGGGGGCTGGTTCTGGGTGGGCTGGGCCAGCTGGCCTCAGCACCTTCATCTCCGCCCCCTGGTGCCTCTACTGCACACCTGGCTAGGCTGGGGGTGCAGGTGGGGGTGGTTGAGGCGGGGCTCCAGGCCCCTGGCCCCCACAGACTGGGTCTAGTCCACTCCTCTCTTGGCTCCTGTCTTGGGGAAGAACATTTCCCCAGGAACACACGCAAACTCCAGGGCCATCTCCAGACGCTGGTGTTCCCGCCGGGAGGAGGGGGCTGGGAGCGTGCAGGCATATATGTGGGGTCTCTTCTCTGCCCTAGGGGAAGGGTGGAGGGCAGCTGGTGGGCGTGCTGAGCCCTGCCATCTGACTGATGGGTTTGGGGCCCAGTCCCTGGCCAGGCGCCCCCAATCCAGCCGGCCTGCAGTTCCAGTGGGGTGGGGCTCACTGTGTGCCCCACCCCGCAGGAGTTTGAGAATGCCGAGGGGGAGGAGTACGCGGCCAGCTTCTCTGCACACGGCTCCCCAGCGGCTGCAGCACGGGGTGGCCCCGACGTGTACGTCCTGCCACTGGCCGAGGTCTCGCTGCCCGTTGCCAAGCAACCAGGCCGCTCAGGTGAGTGGTGGGGCTTGGCCACCTCCCTTCCTCTGTCAGCCCCTGGAGATGGCTGCTGGGGTCTCAGGTGATGTGGGGGGATATGGTTGGCCTGGTCCGTGGGGAGCCAAGACTTCACTGTCAGGTGTTCTCGGGGATGGATGCAGCCACCCCACTCCTGCCCCTGCCCTGGACCTCCCCCAGTCTGCCCCCCAGGCCCAGAGGGCACGTGCGGTGTCTTCTCCTGTAACAGGGGCAGCCCTCCTCCACGCCATCCCCTGCCGAGGGGCTCTGGGGGCCAGGGTGGGCCCGGCCGTGGTCCTGGAGGGCCTGCCACCCCAGAGATGCTTGACCCCAGATTCCCACTCCCTTGGCGCCCCTGCCCCTTCGGTGCCCTGAAGGGACATGGGCTCCATTGTGTGACTGGACGGCCCACCCACATTGGGGAGGGGCTCCTGGGTGCTCTGAGAACGGGCCTTTTACTCAGGCCCCGAGGCAGGGGTCCTCCGGGCCTCATCCCGCCTTCCCCGGCTGCTCCCCGCTGCCGCAGCCCCATCCCGACGGCAGGATGCGTTCCCCTCCCTGGATGCTTCCAGCCAAGGGCACCTCGCCCCTCCCCACCGTACCCCCCCCAGCCGTTCCTGGAACCCTGAGGCTCGTGTGCCCTGGTGGCCTTGGGAGGGCACTGCTGGCACCAGCACAGTGACAACACAGCCCAGTGTCATAGGCCCCCACCCCAAAACCTCAGCCTTCATCAGGGACCGAGGGACCCAAGGCCCCCACCCTACCTGTCGGTCAGGCAGAGTTCACACATCTGTGGACCGAGCCAAGGGCCCAAGGGTGAGCTCTTTCTCCTGGGGCCGCCCTTGATTTCCAGGGTGACCATAGGTCCAAGTTCTGTGCTGGACACTGGGAGCTGGGGGGCCAGAGGCCACCCCAGGGGACACTCGCCACCACAGAGTCCTTGAGGCCCAGCTTCTCCCGCCTCTCAAGGACTGTCCCCGTGGTTGGGGGTGACAGGAACCTCGAGGAAGCCACAGCTGCCCATTTTCTCTGATTTTGCTGTGCTGGCCTCGGTATTCTGGGGGAACTCTGTTTCCCAGGGTGGAGAGAGATCTGGGGTGATGTGCGATGGGACCCCCACCTCCACAGCTGCCCAGATGCCAGGGCTGGAGAGCAGCAGGGTCTGGACAGGCTGGCCTCAGGAGGGGGCCCCAGGAGGCAGGGCCCCAATCCTGTTGAGTATCAACTTTCCCACCCCCTGGGGTGCTGGTCCCTGGTCAACTCCACCACGTTGAGCCCCTGCCCGTGGCCCTCCGGGCAGTCAGCGTGGGAGCAGAATTCGGGGAATCCCTCGGGGCACAGGCAGGGGCGTGGGTGAGCTCAGCAACTGTTGTGTCCTGGCCCCTCCTACCAGCCCCGCTGACCCTTCCTCCCGCTGACCTCAGCCAGCCAGCCCTCAGGCAGAAAGGGCCCAGTGTGTCCGGTGCGGCCGTGCCAAGCAGCCCCCAACAAAGGGGCCTTTGGTGCGCGGGCCCTGGAATGCCAGGCTGAGGCAGGGGTGAGGGGACGGGCCGTCCCGGCCCCCACTCTCGCCTGTGCCACCAGCCTCTGGCCCAGCCCTCCTGCCTGCCCTGTGTTGCCTGCTGTCTTCCGCCCTGGCTGGTCCCTGGGTGCCCCTCCCAGACCTACCCAGCAAGATGCCCGGGAGGACCCTGCAGCTCCCAGTCTCCTGGGCACAGGCTCTCTCCCAAGGCCCTCGCCCCTGACAGCACGCCCCAGGTGTGGCCTCTGCTCTCAACCTGGCCTGCCCTCCAGGGGGCTCAGGGGCACCCCCAGAACTGCTGGGGGCGGGGTGCAGGGAGGGGTGGGAAGCTGGGTAGGCCCTGAGGCCTCCTTCCTGGCACAGCACAGCTCCTCAAGTCCACGGACCTGGGCCGGCACAGCCTCCTGTACCTGAAGGAGATTGGCCACGGCTGGTTTGGGAAGGTGAGTGCAGGCAGCTTGGGGGCACCTGGCATCAGGAGGGAGTGATGTGCCCAGAGCTGGGTCCCCTCGCCACCAGCCCTTCCTCTGCAGGTCCAGGTGTCCGAGCTGGAGCCTGTCGTCGGGGCCGGGGCAGGGAGGCTTCTGGCTTCTTCCTGGGCCACAGCCTGTGTGGGGCTCCTGGGTCCCTCTTCCTCACCACAGACCCCCAGAGAGAGCAGAGAAGGCTGGGCAGCTTGTGGGGGAGCATAGAGAGACCTGAATGTTATAGCCAGAGGGTCTCTGGGAGGGGACCCAGTGCGTCTGAAAACAAGGAAACTGAGGCGCAGAGCGAGATGGGGCTTGCTGGGGCCTGAAGGGAGAGAGGACTGAGAAAAGACTTGTGGGGTCGAGGGGGCCCAGTGGGCCTGAGCGCCTGGCAACGCCCACAGGTGTTCCTGGGGGAGGCGACCTCTGGTGCCAGCAGCAGCCAGGTGGTGGTGAAGGAGCTGAAGCCCAGTGCCAGCATGCAGGAGCAGACGCGGTTCCTGCAGGAGGCCCAGCCCTACAGGTGGCACAACCTGCGGGGGCTGGCGCTGGCCGGACCGGGGAGGGTGGGGTGGGTGGGCCCTGTAAACAAAGGCGGGCTCTGTGCTGTCCACCCTGGCCCCGCCCACCTCCCGCCTGCCGCCCACTCGTGTGTCAGGGCGCTGTTGGCTCTGCAGGGCCCTGAAGCACAGCAACTTGCTCCCGTGCCTGGCGCAGTGCGCGGAGGTGACACCCTACCTGCTGGTGATGGAGTTCTGCCCGCTGGTGAGTCCACCGGGCAGCGGGCACCCGCTGTCCCTGCAGGCCCCCTCCCCTGAAGCCCCTCTGGCGGTGCAAGGCTGGGACAGCGGCAGGGCCTCGCCTCCCTGGGGGGGCTCATGCCACCAGGGGCCCCTCCCAGCCTGACCCAGCATCTCCGCAGGAGCCCTGGGGCCCACAAGGAAGGGAGACTTCCCGGGGAGGGCCTGTTCCCCATCTGTGGGGTAGTTAGCAGTGCAGGAGGGCACCCCCGCAGCCAGCCACTTCCCAGAGCTGACTCCGAGTCCTGTGACCACCAACTGTCCCCCTTGGGGCCCCTTCCATATAGGCCCTGGGGAGTCACAGCTCCGGCTGTGGGCTGAGCCCCGGCCACCCCTGTGGGGCACAGTCTACGAACCGTGCTACTCTCTGGGGCCCCGGCTGGCTGCTTTCGGCTGTTCCCGGCCATGACAGTCACCTCCCAGGGCTTCCTGAGGAGTCTGGGCTCTACCTCTTCCAGGAGCCCTGATCTGTGGGCTGTTCAGCTCAGCGCCCACACTCCAGCACAGCCATTTGAACCCCTGGGCTGTCATCTGTCAAATGGCACACAACCCTACTGACCTCAGAGGGCCACTGGGGACAAGGGGGTGGTTTGGAGAAAGCATTCTGCACTGGGGGTGGGCGGTGGGCGGTGCCAGAGCGGGGCCCCTCACTGTTCTGGGGGCAGACAGACCCCCTCCAGGATGGGCAGATGCAACCACAGAGGACACAGGGCCTGCTGGTCCTCACCAGGCCTGTCGGAGGTTGGGGGATCACAAGGGTCTTTCCAGTCAGGTGGTGGGCTTGCCCTCAGCCTACTCCCCAGCTGGCTGTGATGGGCTTGCTCCTCTTGGCAGGGAGACCTCAAGGGTTACCTTCGGAGCTGTCGGGTGGCAGAGTCCATGGCACCAGACCCGCTGACCCTGCAGCGCATGGCCTGCGAGGTGGCCTGTGGGGTCCTGCACCTGCACCATCACAACTATGTGCACAGGTGAGGTCGGGGCAGGTGAGCAGGGTCAGGCCCTCTGCCGAGAGCCTCGGCAGGTTCCTCACTTGTGGGTGCATGAGGGCTCTTGGGGTCATCCTTGGAAAGCGTCTCCAGACTGCTATGAGAAGACTTATATTACATAGACGAAATGGGGAGACAGGGGTCCACGCCGCCTCTGAGGACTAGCGGAGCGGTTGGCTGGGGCCGCCCTGGCAGGGGCCCACACCGGAGGCCCCAACCCTACTGACCTCAGAGGGCCACTGGGGACAAGGGAGGGAGCAGCTGGCCCTGCACGGGGGAGGGGATGGCTCTGCCCTAGTCTCAGCCTTGGCCCCTGACACCAGCCTAGCCCCGGGAGCGCAGGGGCCCCGCCGGAAGAGGTGCGACGGATGAGTGGCCGGCCAGCCCCGGACGCCGCACGGGCCGTCCTCCCCAACAATATCCTGGTGCTGAGTGATGACTCGGCAACTCCAGCATCAGTGATTTTGTTGAAGAGGGCAGCTGCCAGCCTCCTGCCGCCGCCGGGCCCCGCCCCGCGCCGC